TGCAGGAGCAGTTCCCTACTGGGGAGCGGCGGCTGCGACAGCGCCTGCTCCGGGATCCCCGGTGAGAGCAGGGACGGAGGGAGGAGGAGGGCGGAGGAGGACGGGACGGGCAGCGAGCTCACACCGATGCCTCTCTTGGCTCGCAGGTGCCACCAGATGTGTATCCCGGGATCGCATCTCCTGCCCACAGCCTGCAGCACCCACCCTGTGCCGGGATGGGCCCGGGCTGCTGGAGCCAGCACCACAGGAACACCCGTGGAGCCAGGAAAGCCCGGACGGCACAGAATGGCACAAAGGACGCTTTGGATTGCAGAGACGATCGGCCTGAGCTCCTCCCCTGCCCTGTTTTGACTCGCCCTTGATTCAAGTTTTTGGCCGAAGTGGGAGGGGATAAAGGCACAGGGTTTTCTCGGCCACTGGCCGTGCTTTTCCCTTGCATGGAACAGTTGGGACTGCCCCAAGCCCCTTGTGCCCTCCTCCAGCACCAGGGGCATTTTTCACCACCCAGAGTTTGTAAACAAGAAACAGATGCACTCGAGAAGGCATCATGGGCCTCCTTCCAGCCCGGCTCTGCAGATGCTGAGGCTGCTCCAGGCTCTGCCAGGGCTCAGCTCTGGGCATGGCTGGGCCCACTCTCCCCTCCCATTGTTCAGGTCAGACGAATTGCAGGGTGATAAGGAAGGAACTTCAAGGGAATTGAGGTTTAACAGAGTTTTTATTCAAAAAACACGAGGGTAAAAATTTTGCTTTGACAGGCAAGGAGTGCAGTGCAGACAAACTCCAGACAAAGGGTCCAAAGTAAAGTGGAGAACAGCAAACAAAAGAGAGAGCAACAGAGTACAACAACAGTATGAAAGAGTACTTGAAGAGAAAGAGCAGAAGTGCAGGGATACTTACAGGCAGTTCATTTAAGAGGCTGTCTCTTCTCCAGGGCATAAAAACAACACAGAAACAAAGCTCTGAGCATGAAGCCATTTCTGTTCTCACCATCTCTTTCAAAGGACCATCATGTCCAAGCCATGAGCAGCACAAGCAGGAGCCCTCACCTCACAGCTGACAGCTGCCATCCCTCCTTCAGCCAGATGTGTCTGTCTAACAACATCCTGTGAAGTTCCTCCATCCATGGACTCCATCACCAACCAGAGATCTTCATCAACAGGTAGCTGAAAGAAGAAGACAATGGCATGGAGAAGAACGTGCACAGCTAAATTACCTTATGGAAAAGACTGCAGGGGAGTTTTGCTTCCAGGTCACTTGTAAATGAACACAGAGTAAAATGGAGAGACATTCCTGTAGCTGCACTGTCCTTGAAATCTGCACAGTCGAAAGGAGAAGGAGATGTGAAAAAGGAGATGCCTTTCATGGCAAACACATGAAAAATGTGCTTAGGAACACCCTAAGATCAGTCTGGAACCCACAACACTTGGTGAACCAGCTGGTTCACCACCTTAACTCAGCAATTCCATCAGTAACTCCTCAACTCTCAGAGTAATCCATGGGAGGGGACCACTTAGCACAAAAGTGGTCAATTGTCAGGAAAACCTTGCTTAAAGAACTTTCAGAAATGGGCAAGACAATTGAAAAATTAGCTAAATACAAGAATCTCATCTTCCTAGCATCTACAACAAAGGAAAAGAGTAGGGGAGAAGGTAGGCTGGGGCCAGGGCTGAGAGAGCAAGGCAACAGCAGCAGGCCCCAGCAGGGGCAGCCCAGCCATGATACAGTTAGGTTTATAGTTTTTATACACCCCAGCCTCTCCCAAAGTCTGCCCATGGACAGGAGACCATTGGTCTGGTCTAGACTTTCTTGGCCACACATTGTGGAGACCATCACCATGCATTTAGTTGATGCATTAACATTTTTAGAGATAAAGACCACGCCAGCATGTCCTGCTCTGAAAGGTATCACTGCCAAGAAGTCACTGACTTGAACTTACCCTTGGCCAGCTGGCTCAGCTTCAGTGTGTTTCTTGGCAGGTTCCCCCAGGCTCATAGTGTTCCCTGAAAAAAACAACAGGAAAGGTGGTCACTCCAAGATGGAGACCCCACCCTGCAGGAGAGCCAAAATGCAGCTCCATGCTCTGGGTGGGCAGGAGCAATAAAGGACTCTGACATTCAGCTGCAGAGGAACACTGAGCACAGCTGATGCTCAGACACACACACACCTCACACCCTGCTCTGGCAGACAGGACAGGGAGCAGATGTGCTCACCTGCATGAAGCACCTCTCTCCTCTCTCCTCTGGCTGTGAGGCTGTGCTGCTGCTGTCAGAATGCTCAGCCCATGATGCCTCAACAGAGAGAGGGTCACTGTTCTCTTCACAGACTAAGGGAGGTTCACTGTCCTCTTCCCAAAAAGGTGGTGCTTCACCATCCTCTTTCCAAACAGTGGGATGTTCATGGTGCTCTTCCCACACAGGGAGGTATTGTCCTTCCCCCATAGTGTGATGTTCACTGTGCTCTTCCCACGCCAATGGATGTCCCCTGTCCTGGTCCCACGCCTCTGGCTGTCTGCCCTCCTCTTCCCACACTGTGAGATCTTTGTTCTCCTTCTTCCTGCAATGAGGAAGTTCCCACTCCTCATCCTACACTGCAAGACATTCCCCATCCTCAATCCACACTGCTGGAGCTTTGCTGTCATCTTCCAAAATGCTGGCAAATTCAACACCATCTTCAAGAACTGTGGAAAGTTCACTGCCATCTCTGAGAACAGAGAGAAGTTCACTTTGTTCCTCCTCCCCAGCCTTCTTGTATTTCTGCTCTTTAGCCTTCTCTCTGAAGACAGACAGAGCTAGAGGAGCCCCTGATGCAGCTTCTGTGCTTTGTGGACAGACAGCAGGGTGAGGGACAGAAAGTTGTATCACATTTATGGCCTTATTTATCCTCAGCAGCACTAAGGAGAAATAGCATTCTGGGATGTTCAAACTAACAGTGGGCTAAAGTAGACATTGCCACTTATGCTTGTGAATTAGGTACTCCACCATGGCTAAAAGCAGCACGCAAATCTTCTGTTTGCAAAATCCTCCCTGTAGCTGTTCAAAAGCTCTTCAACAAAAAAGGACAAAACAGCCAGGGATCCCTCAGCTTCTGCTGCTGCAAAGGCACTGACAGGAACTTTCAATCAGCCCACCAGGCTGGCAATCGGCTGCAACACAAAGGTTCCTATCCACTCACCAAAGGAGGAGCTTCTCCGTAGCCACGCCTGAGGTGCTCTGCAATGCGAGAGGGAAAATTAACCAGATGCTATCAGGAAAATAAGCTGTTAGTGCTGGAAAATCCCACGCAACAAGGCAGCCCCGAGAGAGCGTTCAGCTTTCACAATATCACTCCAGGAGTCCTTTCAATGAAACGCCCCTGCCTGCACGGAGAGCCCCCCCAAACACGGAGCCTCCCCGCTGTCCCCCAGTGCCCTTAGCCAGTGGGATCCCCGCTCCTCACCCACAGCGGCCGCTCCCGTGTCACCCCTCGCCTGCGCCCCCAGCCCTGCCCCGCCACCGCGGGGATCCCCCCGCTGCATCCCCGCTCCCGGGCCCCGCACCCGCCACCGCCCGGCCCCGGCGGCCGCCACAGCGGCTCCAAGCCCCCCGCCCTCCGCGCCGGCCCCGCTGGGCGCCCGCAGCCCCGGCCCGGCGCTGCCGGGGCCCCCTCACCTGCTTGCGTGGTGTCGCTCAGGTCGCAGCCGCTGCCGGGGAAGTCGCGCAGCTTCCTCCCGCTCAGGCACAGGATGCCCGAGCTGCCCGCCTCCTCCAGGGCCCGCTCCAGGCTGCGCACCGTGTGCGACTGCGGCAGAGCTGCCGCGCCCCAGTGCGGCCCCGACGAGAAGGAGAGATTCAGGTGCGCGGGGATGCCGAGCCCCGCCGCTCCGCTCCCGGCCGCGCTCCCGCTGCCGCTGCCGTTGTTGCCGCCGCCGCCCCCCTGCCCGGCCGCCATCTTGACCGGCCCCTCCACAACAACGGCCGCGGCCGCTGCGCAGGCGCTGCGGGGCCCGCAGGGGGCGCCGCGGGACGGGGCGGGGCCTCGCGGCGCTCCTCGGCCGCGCCAACCAATCCGCGGCGGCGGCGGCGGCGAGAGGCGGGGCTTCGTGAGGGGGCGGGTGGCTGTGTGCCCGAGGGCTGATGTGCCGCGAGGGGGCGCTGCCGGGGCTGAGGGAGCGGATCGGGATCCTCTTGACAAGGGAGGCATCCCGGGAGCGGGGGCTGCCCGGGAGCCCGGTGCTTCATATTTCTCTTCCAAAAAATGGCTCTAGAGCTGTGATTAGGAAATGCTAAAGAAAGCCGCATAGACCCATATTTTAAGACAATCGTCATCTGTTTGATGAGCAGAATCTGCTTTTAAGCCTTGAACCTCAGGAAGATCCTTGAATTCTGGAATTGGTTTGGGTTGGGTTTTGTTTATTTTTGCATGCATATGTCATGCCTAATTGGGGGGTCTAAGGGAAATTCCCTCTCCAGGGGCTATGGAAGAGACTGGCCTTCAGCCAGCAGCATCACTGACAGACAGCTGAGCCATTATTGATCACTGAGGCCCAGAGCTGAAATCCGATGTGGCTGATGGTGTCTGGGTGACATTCAGCACAACCACTGAGGCAGGATCGGTGAGCAGGTCCTGAGCAGTGCAGGGTTCAGTGCAGAGCTCTGTGGTTTGGGGATCTCCCTGTCCTGGCACACAGATTGCCCTTCCAGCCAAGAGCTCTGTGTGCAAAATGCAGCTGTTGGGGAAGGGGTCCCATTGTCACCTGCAAACAGGGTGGCTGTCTGCCTGCTCTGCCCTCAGCTCTGCCTCCTCATGGGGGGCTGTGGCATTTCAGATGAATACCTGCCAATCAGTCTGGCTGGGCCACAGCTTCTGCTCCTGCCCTGAAAACACCAATCATTGCCTGGATTCCCAACAAGAAAATCAGGCCAACCTGTATAAACACTGCTGAGTGCTGCCCTTGGTTGAGGTTCCAGCCAGAGGGGGTGGAGGGTGAATAAACCCAGACTGGTGTTGGGCCAAGTGTGTAGGATGATTTTGTCAGCAGACATGGAGCAGGAGGCACAGTGGCTCTGCAGCTGGTGAGAGGCCCTTTAGAATTACAGATAAATAGAAAGCAAAAAGCAATACTTGAAAAATCCTTCACCAGGTGCTGTGGAATGCAACGATACAAGTGGCTAAAGACCCAGGTCAATGGCACTGTGGTTTCAGTGCAGTGACCAAGCAGGGCCACACACCTGTGATGGTGTCCCCCTGCCCTGGGATGCACTGTGGGGACTCTCTTTTAACCCTGAGCAGTTGCTTCTTCATTTTTAAACTTCTCAGTCACCATGGGAGATGTTACTCTGGAGGTGGTGTTGCCTGGCTGACAGAGAGCAGATTTCCAGGTCACAGAGCTGCCCTGGTCACTGAGCTGCCCTGGCCTGTGTGCAGCCATCCTGGCTGGGAGCTGCTGCCACCCCCAGGTGGGGAACTGCTGGGCCACCTGTCCAGCACAGGACAGTGCACAGGAACTGAAATGTCAGATGAGCACAGCTCCTGTGCCCCAGCGAGGGCTCAGGAGGCAGCTGAACTGTGTCACACAAATACCCCCTGTGCAGGAGCTCACCCTGTGCACAACAGCAGGGATAATTCTGTTAGAGACCATCATTCTGTGGGTTTAGAGACCATCCCACTGTGGCAGAATGGGGTATTTTATGCCTGTTGGGCTGAGCTCACACTGTGCCCTCTCCCAGTATGTTTTTTGTGTGATGCTTATGCATTTTGGCTGCTTGTGAATTCAGTGCAAAGCCTGTTTTATCTCCTGCTACATAAAAAGTCACCCAGCACTGCAAGGGAATCAAGCTAGGAAAAAAAGCAGGTTTTATCACCTAAGCCCTCAATATAAATTTCAAGAGTGGTTAAAAGATTATAAGGTACAGATTGCCATAAAGCATTTCTTTGGAGAAGAGAATCAGGGTGCGATCTGAACAGCAGAACAATGTTTCCCACTCAGCTTTCAGTTCTTTCAGGACTGAATGGCTCCATCCCTTTCCAACCTGACTGAAGAAGTGCTCAGGTTTTCCTAGTGAATCTGCCATCTTCTATCCATATTTATAGTCAGGAGGCAACTGAAATCAGGGCTACTGCCATTTGTGACTGTGTTTCTTGTTCAACTTTTGAACTTCCATACAGATTATTTGCAGAAAGGGGTGATGTCTCCTCCAGAGTTCATTAACCTGGGTGTTGGGGTACATTTGTTTAATTTTGAACACACAATTTTGAGTAGCCAGGACTGCTCTGATAATTTTGCCAATAACATTCAAGGCATAAGAGATCACAGCAAAGATTTTACAAAATACCTATTGAAAACCTCACACTGCTTTGGAGGCAGATTTTAAAGCAGTAAACTGCCTGTAGGTGGGCACCAATGGGGGCCAGTTTCCCCCAAAGCACCAGTGTCACACAGAAGCTGAACTTGCACCAAAGAGCTGTTGAAGGAAAGGAAATAACCAGAGTGACATTTGACAAGTTAAGATTTTTATTCAGTGCACTGGACTCATACATCACTGCTTCATCAACTAAAACATTTCACACATTCCTATAAAACCAATGCCAAGTCCAGTCTCTTAAAGATGCTTGGTGTAAAACATAAAGCAGTCTATCAAATATTTCCTGTTGTAAGTATAGCTCAGAGCCCAGTAACAGGCTGTGTCCAGCATGTTCAGTGCTGGGTTCCAGCAATGGATGGAGGATGAAGCAGTTACTCAGGGTTGATGCAGGGCTTCATTACAAATGTCTAAACCCAGCTCATTTACATCTCACCCAATGTTTATCAGAGTGCTGCTGCTGGTTTGATTATGCTGCTGCTTTGAGTATGGGTGGAGCTGCAACTACAAAAACCCTAATGCAGAACTACTCAGCACTGGAAAGAAAATGTGATCTGGGCTGGGGCAGCCTGTCTGCCTCCGTGCTGAGGACAGTGACTCCAGCAGCACGGCAGGGCACGTCTCACCCTGTCCCTGCAGCAGCAGTCAGGGCAGCACAGCAATCCACAGAGAAATGCAAGCTGCTCAGGCCTGACTGGCAGGGCAAAGCAACAGGTTTCAGGGTGGAGGGGTCTTACACTGCAAACCTCTGGGCAGGGATGCCTGCAAACACAACTTGGGCAGTCAGGTGGATGCTGGTGACTGTGGGCAGCTGCAGCATCCCCACTTTGCTCTGTCTCCCATGTGGGCAGGCACACGATGCTCAAAGCCTCCCACCCCAGACAATGTAGGGAAGGCTCCATGGTACACCCTCCCACTATCAGCCACCACCCTGATCAGCACAGGGTGCCCTGGCAGGGGGACAGGGCTGGTGCCAGCCCTACAGCTTCCCAGCAAATCCATCTCTGCTCATCCCCCTCCCTGCCCGTGTCCCACCTGCCCCGTGCTCTGGCCCAAACGCTCATCCTGCCTGATCCCTGCCCTCACTCACTCATTCACTCTGTGTGGAAGGAAGGAGACAGCACATTGCCAAATCAGCTATCTCAAAGGGAATCTAAGGACTTTTATTGAGGCCGTGTCGGGGAGCCTGGAGTGTCCCAGGCAGTCCCTGTGCCGAGCACGTGTCCTAAGGCATGGTGACCGTCCGCCGGGCGCTCCTGGCCGCTGTAAAGCGCCTCTTATTCCTCAGACCAGAGAACCTCTCATCCAGAGTCAGGCTGGTCTGCAGGGGAAAGCGAGAGCGAGTCAGTCCCCTGTCCTGTGGCAAAGCACAGCCAAACTCGTAGCAGGGGTATTGATTAGAGCCCATCAGTCAGGCTGGTGATTCACAGCTGGTTAGTCAATTAAACCACTCAGCACACAGACACAGGGAGCTCGACAGACTGTGTGTGGCTGGAAAACCTCCAAGCAGCTCCCTGCCCCAGGACACAGGGCATCCTCGGCAAGAACAGGAGCAAGCAGATGGCATTTGAGCACAAGGCACCAGGTAAAACCAAACCGTCCACACAAGAAACGCCGGCAATGAAGAAGGTGGAGCAGGATTTCTCAGCTGCCCCAGGACTCTTGGACCATACTTCAGTGTAAAATGTGACACCAAGAAGGGCACCAAAGCAAAGAGCGAGCAAAGCCCAGAAGTGCCACGTGTCTCTGAGGAATGGGAAGCACTGACAGTGAAACAGTCCCCTCTGGCCAGGACTACTCATCAGCAGGACCTCCCTGCTCCAAGCAAGCACACGGACAGGCCAAGACAGGCCATCAGAGTGGGGAAAACTGGGCTGAGTCTGTAGTTGCTGAACAGTCTTCTCAAGTGCCTTCAGTTTTGTGAACAACCTGGCCAACACAGCTACGGGACTTTCCTCCCAGGTTGTGTTAGATAAACCCAGCTGGCAGCCCCAGAAACCTGAGTGTGACGTTAAGAGCTCAGTGGCAGGGCTGCTGCAGGGAGCCAGGTGCCTCCTGTGCCGTCGACAATCCTCTACCTGGTTGGCCATGGCGCGGAAGTTGAACCTCAGCAGCACCCCCCTGGGCTGGGGTTTGGCCACCTGTGCTGGGGCTCTCTGGCTTCGCAGGAATGGGCGCTTGGATCCAGGCCTGGGGAAAGCACAGAGCTGCTGTCACTCAGGATGCTCAGGCAGCACTTCCCATCCTCTCAAACCAGCACGGAGAGAAGGACACAGCCACACACTCCACCTGTCCCATGGCACGTCTCCCTGGCAGAGCAGCCTGCAGGCAGAGTCCAGCATGGGGACTGTCACATCCAGGCTATTGAGGGGTGCTCTCTGCACCCAGGACATGCACAGTGCCCTCACCCACCCTCCTCTCTGCCCCCAGCTGGGTGCCAGCTCCTGCAGCTGCCCCCTTCCAGCCTCTGAGCTCCTCTTACACAGCGAGCACAGGGTGTCCCTTTGGGGAACACGGTTTCTCCCAACACCCCACAACCAGCATAACCAGCCTGCCACCTCTTCCCACAATGGTGCTTCCATTTCTCCTCACTCTGCATAACAA